TATTTGTCCTTTTGCGACTGAGATATTTCACTCAGCATAATGTCCTCCAGGCTCACCCATTCTGAATAACGAGTTCCTTGTTTTTCAATGCAGCATAGTATCCCATTGTGTGAATATACCACAGCTTCTCTATCCATTCGTTTGTTGACCAAAACTAATTCTTAAATGCACAACACTGGCTTATTGTTTAAAAGTTTAGATGTCAATATATGTCAGTTTCATTTTAAAAGATCAAAAACAGAATTAATCTTAATAGTTATTCGTCCTGACACCAAAATACACTCAAAATACAAATGTTATCAATAAAGGAATAGTTCAAAGTGACCTCACCTCTTCTACAATCTCTCTTTCAGGATCTTCAGTATCACTGCTGAGAGCAGAATCTTCATTGGATAAACTGCCACTTTCCTCTTCAAGTAATTTCAGATCTTCTGTGCTGACAATCTCATAAAATTCATTCTCATCTACATCTTTTGCACTGCCTGTTTCTTCATTGGAAGATGTATCTCCAGGTCCATCAATTTGGATTATTTCATTACTGTCAGCCTCACTGGTGGAAATACTTAAATCCATCTGAGAATAGGGATCCTAATAAAGGGAAATTCAAGAGTTCTTGAAGACACACAGGTAAGAAATATATACATACCGAGAAATCAAAAAATTATTAACACAAAATTTGACATCATTTTACCAACTTTAAAGTGATTATTTAAAATACAGTTCTGCCCTATGAAATGATGCTCTTTCCTATGTCTGAAATTTTACATCTCCAGTATTTTCACAAGCAATAGGAGAAAATTACAAATAAAAGCAAATCCACCAATAATCATAATAGATAGTAAATTAGTTCACTGGTTCCAGGTATTTATCAGGTTTGACTTTTGCTGCTCTTGCTGACTTTTAAATTTTTTTTAAATAGACCATTCTGAATTTATATACTACTCTGTTGGAGGAAGTGTAACCAGGATACTCCTTAAAAGGAAGGATGGTGAAACTTGGTCTCACTTTGGGTATGTGGTCAACAGGGGCCAGAACTTGGGAAAGGACGTCCAACTGGGCAAAGTGGAGGGTAAGAGAAAGAGAGGAAGACTTCCAACAAGAAGGTCTGACACAGTGACTGCCACAACGGGCTCAAGCATGGTGGAGATCATGAAGACGGTGCAACATTCAGATCAGCTGGTCACGGGGTTGCTATGAGTCAGTCAACCTGATGGCACCTAACAACAACGACGACATTAAGATAGAACTCTTAGCTGACCTTCCAATGGGTTTCTGGAAGCTGTACATGGCAGAGGAGGGGACTGCCCATCTTTCTCCTGAGGAGCAGCTGGTAGATTCAAACTGCCAGAGGAGCACCACCTCTGGGTCAAGAGCACAACTCTCTATGGATGAAGCCACCGCAGCTCCCTCTGAATTCATATAGCATCTGATAATATATATAGTACTGATTAGTTTATAAATATTTGAGTGTTAAGTCAGCGAAGTAGAAGGGAGAGTAACATCTTCAATGAATAAATGAATTTATCAATTAAATTTACTAATCACCTCAGGCCACACTATTATTGTTATCATTATCTTCATCTAGCATAGCTAACAAAATGATCACTGCTGAGTATTTCATAAGCCTTTTTGTAAATAAGCCCACTAACAATTTACTAAGAGGTAAGGCATTCTGACTTATTATACTCATCAACTGAAAAGGGATAAAAAGCAGGATTCAAACTCAGGTTTAATTTATGAGGCTACAGCCCAACCAAAATACCATACTGCTTCCAAGTAGTTTTTCAAATGCAGGAACACTGACAAGAATGTAGGCTCCTTAAAGGTAGAAACATTTTTAAAAAGGCTGTATATGCTACAAAATCTACAACAGTATTTGAGTTCACAAACTCCTAGAAAATCTGGCCAAAGCAACACATGCTAATTATTTTGCATGCACATAACCGCTGTGACACACATATAATAAATGCAACAAGTCCCTTTGGTTTCAAGACTGGGATACAGAGATAGAATTCAAAAACATGGAAAAAGGATTCTTTCTACGAAAATGGTGCTGAAAGCGAAGACGGAAGTCCCTGCCCCTCCCAAAACTGAAGCCAAAGCAAAGGCATTAAAGGCCAAGAAGGCGTCCTGAAGGGCGTCCACAGCCAAAAAAAAAAAAAAAAAGAAGAAGATCCGGCGGCCTAAGCTGCTGAGACTCCGAAGGCAGCCCCAACACCCCCAGAAGAGCACCCCCAGGAGAAACAAGCTTGACCACTCTGCCATCATCAAATTTCCCCTGACCACTGAAGAAGATAGAAGATAACAACACACTTGTGTTCATTGTGGATGTCAAGGCCAATAAGCACGAAATTAAACAAGCTGTAAAGAAGCTCTATGATACTGATGTGGCCAAGGTCAACACTTTGATTAGGCCTGATGGAGAGAAGAAGGCCTATGTTTGACTTGCTCCTGATTATGATGCTTTGGATGTTGCCAACAAAATAGGGACCATCTAAACTGAGTCCAGTGGGCTAATTCTAAATAGAAATTTTTCTAACCATAAAAAAAACCATGGAAAGACAACCAGTGAGTGCTCAGAGGTCCTTAACACATTGCTGCAAATGATGGTAATACATCAAAAAAAAGCACGATAGTCAGTTTAAAAGTGTGCGGAGTTTTAATCGCAACAGAGAAATCTTGAAAGCCTAGCGGGTAACCGAAGCTAAAGGCAGCTTCTATCTTGGTCCAAGAAATTGTATAAGATCCAAACCTTTCTCCCCCCCCCCCTTTTGAGTTTCTTGAGGTGATGTTACGGTTGTTAGGTGCCATTTAATTGACTATGACTCGTAACAAGCCTATGAACAACAACAAATCTTGTCCTATCCTGCAGTCTATCCTTAGTCTTCAGCATGCTCAAGACCACTGCTAGTCATTCTGACAATTTATCTTGTTGATGGTCTTCCTCTCTCTGACCTTCCACCTTTCCTCGTTTGATGTCTCCTTCCAAGGACTAGTGCCGTCTGATAACATGCCCAGAGGAATTATGGGAGATGAAATTTCACCATCCTTGCCTCTAAGGGGTACACTAGTACCTCAATATGGCATATATCAAACGATCATCTTAAGACACAATATGTGAGCACCATATTCATTTTTTGGAGTAAATAACCTTCTGAAATTCACATTCAAAGTATAAGCCTTGTAATGAACCCTCACAAAGTGCTCCCTGCGAACAATGCTACATAGAAAAATAGACAAATACAACTATGCTGTTTTGCAAACAACTAATTTTTACTAAATTGGAAACGGATTTTGTTCACATATGGCATATAAGAAAATGCATACTTAAAAACTCAATAGTTGAATACTATAAAAGCAGAAATAATTAAAAAGTGTAAAAATAAAATGAAAATTTTAATTCAACTCTAGATAAATTATAGCATGCTCTCAAAGGTCTCACTGTTGTCTACAATGTTAATAACAAAAACCCAGTCAAACCCAAAATGCATCCCACTACAAACTTTTCACGTTAAGGTACACTATTAAGGTATTCTATCAAAAACAATAAAATCATCATCAGCCATCAGAACAGGGCAAAGTTCAGAGCTGTTGTTCATAGCGTCATTGAGAGTCATAGGTGACTCCACAGTGACTAACAACAAATCATCAAACAGCAAAGCAAACAAAAGAAGCATACAGATCAGACCAGGGAATTCCACTCTTGGAATTTACTGAAAGGCTATGGGACATTCATGCAATGGAATACTACGCAGCACTAAAGAATGACGAATTAGATCTAGATAACATTGTTATTGTTGTTAAGTGTCATCATAGACAACTTATAGAAACCCTCTCAACAAAAGGCTTAGTGAAATAACTCAAGAGAATGACAAACATTGCATAACACTATGAAACCAGGAGGGTAAAAGGCAGATGAGGGGGACAGAGAGAGCAGAAAGAAAGAGGGTGCACAACAAACACTGTGAAGGCCCAGCACAAGGGAGGACCAGCCTGAGAACCGACTAAAGGACAATACAGCTATTGTAATTAGCCAATACTAACAAGATAGTTACAGCAGTTCAAAAGGAGAGAAGAAAGGGGGGGAAGAGAGAGAAGGGGGACAGAAGTGGGGAGGGAACCACTAAGGCAGCAGATTTGTGGACAGACAGAAGTGAGGGTGAAGAAACAGACAAGGAGCAATGGGGACTTGATGAAATGGGGTGACAAAAGGCACTGACCAATAGTAAAGAGTTATGTAACACAATATATATTAAAATATTACTCAAAAAAGAAAATATCACATCTTTTTTTAAAAAAACGTGTCTATTTATGAGTTTTCCTTACAAAGCACACAAAACTTGCAAACTGTCCAAATGGTAGACAAGTAAGCTGTGATATATCAATATGATGGAATATCCTGATATACATAACTCATAGATGATTGTTTAATGTGTTATGCTACAGCTCATACTGTCCAACTCCTACTGACATTCTGGAAATGCCAAAAATTATATGGAAAGGAAACAGAACCGTAGTTACCTCAGGGACTGAAGAAGAGATGGAGAAAATTGTGGACAATAGGTCAAGAAAGAACTCTTTGGGGAGATATATTCTACCTCTCGATTGAGGTAGTAGTACTTTTAACTCCATGTATTTACAAAAATTCATACTGTGCTTCTTTAAGAAGGTGAATGTTATTTTATGTAAATTACATCTAAGTAAATCTGGTAAAGGCTCACCCTGGAGAGGGTGAAACCAGGCTGCTCCTTGGAAGCAAGGATTCTGAAGCTTCATTTGACATACTTTGGACATGTTGCAAGGAGGGACCAGTCCTTGGAGAAAGACGTCATGCTTGGGAGGGTGGAGGGACAGTGCAGGAGAGGAAGACCCTCTATGAGGTGGATTGATTCAGAGACTGGGGCAATGGGGGTAGGTGTGTTGGAGACAGTGAGATTGCCACAGAACAGAGCAGGGTTTAGGGCTGATGTATATCGGGTCAGTAAGAGTTACAGGCAACTTGACCGCATGTAACAGCAGCAGCAACACATTTCAAAAAACTATGATAAAATTGATTTAGGCTTGAGCAACATTAAAATTGACTTATTTAATAACAATAAGTATTAAAAACAAATCCAAAGTTTATGTCAATAATTGAAAAAGTGGTATATCCTTAACCTCTGAAACACTTTCCCCAGTCATTGCAAAGTTCACAATTCTCTGACTTTCACTCTCATTTTCCAAAATGGTAATTTAACCCAAACAGCCAGCAGTTTCTTGGCCACATCCATTATTGGTATTATAAGACTGAATAAAATTATTTAAGTCTTCCACATGGCAACCGTCTATGACATAGATCACCAAAGAAATCTTCGAGGTTAAATTCTTAGAATGGGCTTCATCTTTCAAAAACAGAAGTAGTCCCTAAAGATCAATCAAGGGCTTCAAGCTTTGCCCTTTGGAAAGTCATCCCACCCAGTATTGACAAACATCTTGGAAAAGACAGAAATTCAGAGTTGGCTCTAATATATTTTACTTTCATGGAAGCAAATGAAAACTTCTGAATTACTGGCTGAACCTAAGCACTAATGCGTGCCAATGTGCTGAGA